CTATGTAATCACTGGCAGAAATAAACAAACTTATTTTTGCAACTTTATATTATAATCATGTGATACAATCAGTTTATCATTTAATAATAAGAATATGTTTGAATTAAAGAAAAAAAAATATTTCTGCCAGTAATATGTTGGATGGACCTATGTGATAATTTATTTATCAGGTAGGTATATACCGATACCTGCCTGATAACAAGAACTAATTAAGCCAAATGGTCTATTTGTTATTATTATTATAGAACTATATATGTTGCACAAGAAAAATAAATTTTTTTTATATTAAAGAAACCTTTGAATCCATGGCTCCTCCATAGTAAACTTTTCTTTGTTAGTAAAAATGAAAAAAATTATATATATTCTTTGTATTTTATTCTATCTATACACATAAAAAAAATAACAATGTAGTGGAACAAAAGTATATAACAAAGGTGGCAAATTAGACATTTTCCCCACCAACCATTATATAGCATTCACTCATTCATAGAAGGATCACCAATTAAGTATCATGTAATATTACTTTCTCATTTCAGTCTTGATATTTCTAAGCTTAATTCTATTCTTGTTAGTAATTTGTATACACTTCCATGTGAAATTGTCTTTAGAGCTGATCCCATTGATTCTATTAGAAGGCTTTCAACATATTAAAATCCAACTCAGATTATTATTTGACCTAGTAAGACTTAAAAAATTTAACATTAAAAAATATGCTTTTCTGTGAAGATTGTCATAATAGAGCTATACGTGAGTTCAATATTTGTAAACAAAAAGATGGTGAATCTATATACTTACTATGAGAGGTTAATAAATCATTTCAACATAAGGGTGATCAATTTATCTTTGGATTGACACAAAAGAATATTGAAAGAGTTCTTTCTATTGTCAGTGCACCACATCCCAAGATGGAGTCTTAAAAGACTTTTGATATTGAAATATCACTAGGTGAATTAGTTAATACTATCTGAGAATGAATTCGAAACTTGATTTAAATTCCATAGCTTTCAGGTTCAATGCCAAGATTATCAAAATCTTTTGGATCTTGCATATCTATATGTTTCCATATTTCTGTATCATTATACATACCTGACCTCCTTCCTTTCTCATATTCTCTGGCTCAACATAATTGTTATGGTTGGTTTTTGTAAATCTCATTTTGGGTCAGCAGGATATTTACCACTTTCATGCCTTTTATATATCTCAGCTTTGCTCTCCCTGGCCCATTGCTTGGTTTGGTTACCTTGGATACTTTTGGCTTTGATTTCTTCTATTTCTTTTATAAAATTTTTAATCTTAGCAGTGGTATAATACTTACTCTCAGGGTTATAATTACAGCACTTTAATTCATTGTATTTTGGGATGATATGCCTTCTTCAGTCTGCTACCTTTTCCCCTTATTTTTAGCATATTTCACAGATGAAATGGCCTTAGCTCTTGGTTTTTTTGGGGTAGTTAACTCTGGGTGTTATTATGTACTTGATTTCTTCTCTGATATCTACTAGAGCAACAACTTCAAACAGGTCCCTACTATTGTTAAGAGATTTAAGTGCATAACTAAAAGTTTAGTAATATATGTGAACATTTTTATAGATTTCAGATATCTTTAATTTGAAAATTTTATTAATTTTTTACATTTTTCTGGTTTTGATAACAATTGCTCTCTTTGCTATGCAGACTGTTTTTGCTTTGTTCTCTGTCTATTTGTGAATTGAATTTTATTTCAGTTCTATGTGGCCTGAAACATGAACCACACCACATAGCAATGTGTTATACCTAATGATATCAAAATTAATATGAAATTGATGCCTACATGGCCTTGTGGATATAAATGATGTAAAAAAATAGTATACAAAATCCAGTAAATTGTCATCTGTGCCAGGACCTCCTCTTTTACACAACATATCTTTTGTCTCTATGTATTTAATCATGTTCTTACAATGATTATACAATATATTTGATATTGTTGTTCATAAATTTATTAAAGATTAATTACCAAATAAATTGCATCACCCAAATAACAATAATACTAAGATCATGCAGAAAATAAAATCTTTAAGGAATCAATTTTGAAAAAAGTCCATGTGGTTGTCTATGGTCTCCATTTTTTGTGTG